GAGAATTAGCGCACATCTAATGGTATTTGCAGGAAGTGACCTCGGAGGTTTCTGCCTGAGTAACAGTGAATGCATGCTGGGTGCACTCGTTACCGATGTCACTGTTTGTAATAGTAACGATGAGACTGTTGGTAGAGGATACCCTAGAATCTGCAACCTTTACACGCACTCCTGTGTTTGCAACTCGTATGTGACCGACCAGGAGTGCAAAGATGCAGCGTCACTCACTGTGACATGCGAAAGTTGTAAGTAATATATTAAAAACATTTTCATTTACGAGAAAAAGACCTTTCGTCCGATGGGCCAGATTACTGTCATGATATCAATTATATTCATGAGACGCCATATTTTTTGAAAAGCATCCACATTATATGCAACCAAATATCTCCTAAAATTACAACATTTAAATTTTAAGCGTGCAGTGTGTTGTGTACGTATGTAGGTAAAACATAACTGCACTAAGTTGTGCACGTGTGCAGGTGAAATATAACTGCACTGTGTTGTGTACGTGTGTAGGTGAACCATAACTGCACTGTGTTGGTGGAAACAGGACATGCTGCCGGCGCTTGTGGATGAAAGGATAACACGAGACGAACAAAAGGAAAAGGTCGCAGAAAATACGAATTTAGCCCGATATTTTATTTGCTTCTGTAAGATTTCTAGTTTACGATAAATGTTAGTTTGAATAAGGAAGTTTTTTTACATATTGTTATCACGTGTGTTGCACATTATCTCTACTTATGCTATCTGAAACATTATGAAAATTCGTCTTTGCAATTCGCACTTCTGCCGTAATATTATCCATAAAACAAATCTCGCCAAAATCAGTTCGATGCAATGTGTGCTATCGCTACTTGGTGACAACCTTCCACAATATTAGGATCCCTTTATATTATTTTCCGTGTGTTATTTGCGTATTTATTTCGATTAATTATTTTATGCTATTTACTCTTTGAAGTCAAAATACTGTTGTTCGTTTAACACTTTTTTGTAACCATCATAATTATTAAATCATTTTACACGTTACTTTACATTTGCTTTGAATTTTCATGTGTGTATGTGTGTGGGGGGGGGTTGGCGTGTGCGTGTGTGTGTATGTGTAAGTGAGTGTGTACGTGTGCGTGTGCGTAGGCGTGAGCGTGTGCGTGTGTACGTGTGCGCTCTGTGCGTGCGTGCATGTCCGTGTGTACGTATGCGTGCGTGTATGTGCGTGTGTGTTTGTGTTCGTTAGTACGTACGTGCGTCGATACATGCATGTGCGTATGCGTTTGCGCGTGCGTGCATATAATTATATACTTGCGTTTGTGTGTAGGCCCCTATATACAGAAGGAAATTTAGACAGGAAATAAGGAAACACTTGTATTACACATACATGAGAATTATCCAATTAAACAGACTACAAGTCCTTAATAATCTCATGCAGCTTGTATATTTTGATACGTAGTTATCCGTGTTGTAATCAAATGATGGGTT